CCAAGTTCTGTAGGGTATGTACGATAGGTAAGGTCAATAGATATCTTGCTGTTGAAAGAATAACGATCGTTCTTAATTTGAAATTGAAGGACTCGAAAAGGATTTTGGTATTACAGCTGATAAGTATAGAATAAATTCAACCTCATGTGCAATAAGAATTAGTCGACCAGGAGAGAGATACAGTTTGTTCCCATTGAAACGCCTAGTCTGCTGGAAAATCTTGCCATCAACCTCGACAAATAGATTGTCAACTGGGAATTAATTTATTATCAAGGCTCCATTCTTAATGTATTTCATCTTGGCCATGTCGTGTATCCCTATCGCCATTCGCCTTTCTTAAAAAAAAGTCCCACAATTACAGAACTCGAGGGTATTTCATCAGTTCGGTAGGAGGCATAGTAGTGTATAGAACGGAAAAGACAAAAATACTGATAGAATAGAGAGAAAAAAACCCATTAGTGAGAGGAGGATTCTCAAGACAGATCAGACTAACTTCTGAGTTCTTCGATGTCAGCAATCCACATATTCTGCTACTGGAGTAAACGGTGTCACAATACGACTGTAACTCTGATTCAATGGCCCCTAGTGTCGGAGTGCGGAGGGAGATTGGAGTAACAAGCAGAGCCAGTGATAATCATTGTTTAGAAGGAATCTTGTGAAGGTTCGGATTCCAATACAAACAAGGCAGGTCCGCAAACTTCATCGTTTTTCGGTATTCAGACATATTGTAATACAGAAGCATGAACAGCTAGTATTTTGTCTTAAACAAATATAAAATGTATATGTAGTTTTTCCTTGGGTATCAGTCAAGTCTAGCTCTTTACAATTAACATGTGCACATACATATCATGCAAATCGCTGAGTGTGGTTTTGATATCAGGGTCTAGAAATACAATCCTGAGTTTTGCTTTCATTTCGGAATTCATCATTTTAGATCAAATTAGAGTGATGGAGTGATTCTAAAGATGAATCAATTCAGCGTTTTTTCGTTTTACCCATTGTTTGGCGTAGTCTTCCTTCAATATCTTAAAGCTCACATTCCAACTGATAGTAGAAGTCTTCAGAGATAGATAGAGTATTAAGTACTATTTAACGTTCCAGGCCAGTGCTAATATTTTAATGTCTAAATTATAATTATGTTATTGTTTGAAATGTATGTAACCAAAGGGAGAGGGCTTGTATAGGCATAGCCTGTTGCCCAATTCCCATTGAATCATTTGATTGAATAAAATATTTTGAAATGAAATGAAATGAAGTCTCTCGTTACCCTCGACCCATCTGAAAATCCTCTACGTAATAGAAACGTGTCTAGCTGGATCATAACTGTATGTTGCTTTAGAACAAGAATATGCTGAAAGAGGAGCTACAAGTGTTGTATCGTTAGTTTGTAGTTTAAGTGCTTGAAGTGCTGCATGGAGTCGATGTGTTTAGAATAAATGTAAGAAATGATCGAGGTTATTTAGTATCCGAAGTACGGTGATATGATTGTTTCGTCGAACTTCTGTTGTAGGGTATTACTTAATAACCATCTATCCCCTTGTGTGCTAGTTTCATTTTCATAAATATTGAGCTACCAGAAGGTCGTGGCTATCTGTACGAACGGGTTTGAATAGATGTGTCACATGAAAAACAGCTTAGAAGACTTCAAGCTAGTTTTATCAGGAAAAGTTTAAGTAATTCAAGGAGAGGAAGTGATTATAGCGTGAATCGGAAAAGGTTGACAGTCACAGCCAAATATTCTTACAGAGTTTCCATAAGTTCTTCAAACATAACATAGTATTGGGTTGGACTGTTGTAATGTTGATGTCGGTGACTACGCTTACGTCTCTCTTTTGGAGTGAGAATTATCAGTCCTTTTGAAGTGTTAAAATATCCCCTAGTCATCGTCATTCTCTAGTTTAACCCTGAGATGCAGTTTTATCGTTTTCAATTTTTATTATTTTTGGCGGGGCCATTTGTGTTCCAAATGGGCTTTTAACTACACAGTGCGAATAAAGTCGCATTTGAGGGACGCAATCACGAAGTAAAAATGTCAAGATACCGTAAAACTACTTCAGATGGACATCCACAACTTCCCCGAACCCAGTGGAGTGCATGACTCCAGACTGTAGACTGTGTTTTTTGAGCAATATTGTAATTAACATATCTCGGCAAAGGTACATATGGAAACTGACGAGTAATTTCTTCATCGTCAACAATTTATCTATATTGATAACCGAATTAAAATACATATTGCATCACTCGGAGCATCGTTCCCTCAGTTAATTTTGAACATATTTACTGCCAAACGTACAACAAGGGTTAAAAACTTACCAACGCCTTCTCTCATCAAACATTTACAGCTACATAATAACAATGGCAACCGGCATATCATTAGATTATATACTACTAAAAAACTAGGATGTGTTCCTAGATCATTGAAATCTCATCTTGATGTACAAACATCGCAAACGTCTAAAACATTTATATTAAGAAATAGGTTAATTTATATTTTTATGAATGAATCAAAATCAATTTTCAAGACATTAACATTTTGTAACATGATAGACTTTTCTTTAATTAAAACTGCATTCTAAGAAATAGTGATTCACTTTATCACATAGGTGGTCATAATTACAAGCTGTACTATCAATAAGGTTCGATGTAAAAGGTCAACACTACGGGAAGAACAAAACAACAGAAGACAGACTGTCTGTATGTTAGACGTTTACAAATTCTGAAAGTGAAGGGAGTGATCGCACTGAATTATGTAAGGCCCGCCATCTCTAATGTCGGGAATAGCGGCGCTCCTCTAAGGCCCGCCATCTCTAATGTCGGGAAAAACGGCGCACCTCTAAGGCCCGCCATCTCTAATGTCGGGAAAAACGGCGCACCTCTAAGGCCCGCCATCTCTAATGTCGGGAATAGCGGCGCTCCTCAAAGGCCCGTCATCTCTAATGTCGGGAATAGCGGCGCTCCTCTATTAGTACTGGTATTGCTTTCTTCATCGTTATATTGGATACCAAACTTCCGACATTGAAATCTAATTTCACTACTTTCTGGAGATAGCAGGGACGGGAAGTAAGTTGCATATAGTCCTTTGTTTGTAGAGAGGTATCTTTTATTGATCCTTCAAATTGCTGACTGCGACGAGAAGGTGTGTTGTTGGCTGGTTTTCTCGGCGTGGAACTGTTATTGGAAAACTTAGTTTAAGCGGTTAGATTACTTGTTCATACCTGGTGTTTGGTTTTCAATTATGTTATTTGCTCGGTCTGTCACTTCTATTGACGTGTCGTTCTGTTGTCTACTGCTGACTTGCTCCAAGGTCATGTCATTCTGTATTTTGGAACAAATTGTTGTGTACAGTCCATGCACAATTACCATCAGGTGTATTTCACTAGTTCTGGTTAGTCAGTATATGGATATTGTCTGATCTTGAATAAATTTGGCGTAAAGGTTTAGTTCTATAACAACCTCCGATTATTGGATTGGACAAAATGGCGGCCGCTTCCTTTCTTCTGATTGGGGAAGATAAGGTTTTAACCGATTTCGTTTAAATTTGGACGGCAGATGTATTATGGAACTCCGAACTCTACAGCGATGACCGTTTCCTACAGGCCAATATTGCTGCCTTAAGCTGCTTTTTTATTGGTCAAAATGTAGATCCTGTTCGATATCGACATTTGGGATGTAGGTGTATTTTGGCACTGAGGCATAGGTAATTGTGTCCATTTTTACACATTTTCGTGACTTGACATGAAAGAGACTGTTTTGGAAATTACTTTTTGTAGGGTATTGGGAGGACCTCTGAAATGGTCCCATCACAGTCAGCACTTATTGTAATTCTTCTTCTGTCGTAAACATGTCCTCAACTGTTCTCAAAACTACTGAACGGATACTAGTGAAACTTCACATAAACATTGATGATCAGGTGTATATGTATAATCCACAGTTTCTTGTCCAATCGAACATCAAACATGACCTCTGATTGGCTCAGGCATAGCCAGACTTTTTGGATTGTAATGGAATGAATGAAGAACGAAATCGACAAGTTGTCACTGCATAGTGGCCTGTCATTGGCTGAAAAAAAATTACGATTCTAACTCTGGTCCTGTTGGTCCGACTTTGCTCATACAACATAGTGGGAGATATACTTAGATATCTTACGCCGGACAAACAACGGCTTTTAATTTTAAGTTCTGTGGTTCAGGCTGGCCGCTCGGGTTTCAGAGACGCTGACACGTCTACTCAAATAGTTTATTTTTGATAGGTAGATTTGGATGTAATCTATTGCGACACAATGTTTGCAAACCCATGGATACTTTGGGAGGTTTTTGTAATAGCTCCCGTGACATGGAGTTTCTAGCAATGAAAAACTCATTGACACTCAACTCAAATTTTCAAACTCCGATCGTATGACATTACTTATTTATTAAATTCGACTTTGTGAAACCATGAATATATCAAGTTTGATCTGACAAACACTAAATGTAAGCAACGAAGTTTTAGAGTTGATAACCTAGCTCTAGCGTATTTAATATAAGAAACGTAATTACGTATAGGGTACGGTGGAGGCATCAACAGCATCACGCCAACAGTGGCTAAATTAAGCCTTCATCAGTTTGAATCTCGAGCAGACTAGATGAACAATTCTTTAAATACGTATTCTCAATTATCTTGAGCCTTTCCCTAATTGTTTCTCCTATAATGCTTCATGGTCAACAGAGTTAGGCATAGGCCGAAAGAAATTTAGTCGAATGATTCCTATTTTTTTTTTACATAAGTTGGCAAAACGATAGCTAATGTATTCTATAAAGCAGAGCTCAGTTTGCTTGTTGTTATTCATGAATTCATGAATTTAGATTAGTTTGAATATTCCGGAATGGCGCGAAGATAAATATGATACAGCAAACGTTTTGCTTTAAAAGCATTTTGGCTGAAATCGAATGGTTCAACTATTGTATATTAATAGACTAGGTAGATGATGAGTAATGTATGTAAGGTAATAACATCCGGTAAATGTACGATCACGTTCACAGACCTTTGTCTGATACAGGTAAACAGCACACACGTATACCGTGTACACGGATAGCTTTAAGCGGGGTCTCAGGAATACTCAGAGGTCACTGAGGCGTGTCCAGCCCCTGGTATCATTACAGGTGTGTCTCCAGCGCCAGTGTCTTTCCGGAGAGTTTCGGATTTTATCACTAATACACATATATTGGATTTTTTACCGACGATCAAGGTAGGTTGTATATTCTGGACATGACAATATTCGGTACAACATGTTTAACTCTGTTCCCGGTCCCCGTGGACTCTTAGGGACGCCAATTATTGGGGACACGGGGGACACTGTTATTGTCCCGCTTCACCAGTAAATGAAGCAGGCGCCTCCATTCCCCCTCCAAAACGACAATATTCGTCACTCAGCTATTTCGGGTATAAAATTGTTGATTACATTTTAAGTTAAATCCTGGTATGATTCATCGCTCTACACACCCTTTGTTGTAAGCAGCAATGTAATGCCAGGGAATGTCAATATACACAGTCATAATGTACACACGAAGTACATATATATTTATTGATTGGCTATCTGGTACAACTGTATTAAATCAGGTACTGTCAGTATGGCATACAGCCGCGTGTTTTAAAATCACTTATAATCCGTAGAGATATGGACTCAACTGCAGAAATCCCCTGTTAAACGAACAGCATTCTAAAAACTAACGCACCGACACGAGCGCCAATACAACCTTATAAATGAGAACGAAAGTTAGAAACCCGATCATATATCACCGGAAAAAGCTTAATGTTGTCAACACTGATTAGATCAGAAAGCCTTAAGTTGTGGAAATTAACATAAGTTGTTGTATATTGTCCTTATTCGTGTAAATGGAATCGTTAAAAAACTACTAACGCGGGAACTCCCAACACGGAAATATAACTATGACACTCAGTAAAGGCATTGTTTGTAAAGAGTATATCATGTATGCATTGTATATTCTTGTTTTTATTTAATGCTTTATTGACAGTTTTGATGGCGTAGAATTGAGAAAGGTATTTGGAAATTTCGTATACATATGTGAAATGCTTATTTAAAATTGAAAACTTGAAAAAAGTCAGTTATGCTTTTTTTTTCAAAATGGCCGATGGATTTATTGGAAGGTCACGTGTTAGTAAATATTGAACATTGCGAATTAAAGGTTCGGTATTATTGTCACTGTTGGACCTTAACAATTCAATAGTTCAACCAATACACCTCTGTAAAAGTATAAAAATGGTCAGATGAAGAAATCCTTTTGCCTTTGAAGGGTAGTATGCGTGTTCACAGGGGATTCAAAACATATGGTTCAATATCTAAATATAGCAATGCAGAACAGGTAAATCATAATGAGAAGTATCAACACCAGTACACGTATGAAATCTCGGAATATCTAACACTTTTTGTACCTCTACACGGCTGGTACCATCATGGTTACGTTAGTATGTCAATTAACAGGGACATTTACGCAGTTGGCGTACCACTGCAATTCAGTTACGTTAAATGTCTCGACTGTACTTGTAAGTAGCCTGTCGACATAATATAAACACTCTTCCTTGTAAACACCCGGTTTCCCTTAGCAAAAAGGCGTATTAGCATAAAAATGTTCGAAAAAAACCCTCTAGGTTTCAAAAATATTGTAAATTGTACGAAGGTACGCTTTGACCCTTCTTTAGACCTCCCCCTCCCCTAGAACCACCACCACACCCCTCCCCTAGAACCACCACCACACACACACACCACACATATACACACACACACACCAACATGCTTTGTCTATTGGAAAGGGGTAGGTTGTAAACTGAAGCTAGAGTCCAGGGGTGAAGCCCCGATTGGTGGTCAAAAGTTTTCAATATCTTAAGTATGGACATACCTGTGGGTATTTTTAGAAACAGCAGATTAATAATCTCTTTATGACGTCACTTAAATTGTGACGACACGTCACAGTGCTCTCAGCCAGATACAACATTTTTCTCATAACAATTTTTTTTTGCGTCTTGCTTATAACGATAAAAAAACAGCGTAACTTTAAATCTTTAATGCAATAGTTAAGGGATTATTTCGTGGAATATGTGGGTTTTTTTACCTGTAAAATATCGCTTACTTCGACTTTGCCCTGGTTAATATTTATTTCTCAGGTTCATATAACCAGATATTCACCTTATATAACACAAATCAGTAGATAAGTGATGTGCTTGCCAGTGATGTAAAGTAAGTTGGTTCTGATCAAATTTAACTAAGTAAATCCTCCACGACGAAGCCATTTATGTTTTTATTGAACTGCACTCCTTTCGTGTACCTTTGATCGCGGGGCTTAGCTGTCGGCCATATATATAACGTGAAGTACCGATAAGGAATCTGGTGATTAGTTACCATCAAAGTGCGAGAGTGTGTGTACTCTACAAATTTGTGAGGTTCGTAAACATTACAATGGTCCTCTCGGCCTCAACACTTTAACACAAAGTTCTTAGCTCCAGCAATAAATTCTGTTCACGATATCAAAGTGTAGGCATACTCTATATATATGTATCACAATTGTCTGATTCAAAGTAACTCATTCTCCCTGTTTATCAGTAAAAATACTTGTAGATACTCTGAATTTATGTTTGATTGTGACATAACATAAACACGTACTTTCTGTCGTTTTAAGCAATTTGTTGGTTATGTTTTGTTTGTATTTGAACTTTGTCTTTCTCGGCTAGTTAATCCTACCTAAAGTAGAAAAAAATAAAAATAATAGAAAAATAACTTTCATTCAATCCACACTTTTAAAATCGTTTCGCAAATATCCTCTGAACTTATCCAATACATTGTATACAGACGGCCTGTTCGATTCACTCAAACATAAGCTTGACCTACTGTACCCCCTTACGTAACGGTCAATCTGCTTACTGGGACGTACTCATTACATCATTGTTCCAATACGCTGCCCGACTTTGACCCTTTGACCGCTAAGGTCATCTGTTGGTCAATAGGATATTTCCCGCCCTAATGACGCTAAATACTATTACATCACATACTTGTAACATACCCCTGATCGCTAAGCTGATTGTCACAGTGCGAAGCGACGAGTATGGTGGCAAATATCGTGAGCGGACAATAAGTATTTCATACAGAGGACCTGTTGTCTAATTAATATAAATCAGATTGTCAAAGCGAGAAATTGGATTAGAAACCCGTGTGGTCTTACAAAACAATGCAACTTTCTACTATTCTCATTCTTCGAGCACCATATCGCCATACACATTACACATGTCTTATGTTGAGCTAGAAAAACGTTAAGTCGACAATATCTGACAATTCAACAAATAGGACTGGTATAGGCCTAAATGCAATCTCAATTAAGCATCCTTCAAACGTCTGATAATTAAAGCTGGTGGGTTCCGCTGGTATTCTGTGTGATCACTTTCGTTTGCTGATTTGCATTAAAACTGATAAAATAGTATGTTTAACAGTATATGGGTTGTAACGGGCCATGCGGTGTGTTTATCTTCTATGGGACGATTGTGCAGGGTTTACCTTTGCCTCGACATATCTAAGTTCAAACCTACCTGTTTTTAACTTGGAATTTGTGTTCGTTGGTGGTATAAACAGACACACCAGAAATATGTGATACTGGAGAAATAGACATGTATTGATTTATAGCAAAATGTCTCCTCAATCCCAATCTGTTACACGGAACGAAATATTTGTACTTTCAAATCTCAAACCACTTTTAGTGCGATCAGCTGTGTTGTACTCAGCACTTGACCTGTATGATCGGCAGCAAGGTGCTGGGAAGGCCATTTTATGTCCCGTCTGATTGCCTCGGCAGACTTGGGGATTTCCTCTCTAAAATGGCCACAATAAATTTGCTACACGTATTGCAACATTTATGGTATTTTTTTCTCTCTTCTTCCTCAGACGTTTTGTTTCCGAGCTGCCTTCTTGGCACACCTTGCAGGTCGAGGATTGCAAAAAGATTATACTAGCGGTACCTTACAGCCTGCAGAATCGGTGTTTGTTTCTGTGCCCTGTTACTTGGGGACACAACATAGGCCAAAACAAATCTCCTGCGTCCATTGAAAGATTTAGGATCTATATTTTCTCTCTGCTTCCTGACAACCTTTTGTTTCCGAGTGCCGTGCATGGCAAACCTCACGTTTTGTCTCAGCGCTGAACGGTCATCCAAGTGAGGAAGCATTGGGTTTTGGTCCTAGCTCGGGACATCCCGAAGTTCTTAAAAAGATAGTTGATACTCCCTCCTAAACGTTCAGCATTTCGGGTAATTGCAACAACTGGTTCACCCGTTGTGAGTATAACGTGACCGGTTGGAAATCTATCCTGGGTGCCTTCGGCATTGTGTTTCAGTGAGGTAGCACTATAAAAAAAGTCGGCATCAGACCGCGCTATCACAAGGAGGCAATACACCAACATACCTTGCCTCCAGCACACATTCACACATACTCGTGTACATTACACACATAGTAGCATACATTACAAACATGGAGGCACGTACTTAAATGATCTTAATAGAACGTTAAACCCTATAAAACCAACCCGACAGATAAGCAGTGCAGTACAAAGCTAATTGACTTGTTACATGTGATGAGCGGTGCTATACTGAGCTAATTTTCGGGTAGTGGGAAAACGTGTCCCACAACACTCAAACATGTAATGGGTAATGTTTGTAGTTTCAAGGCGAGGGAAAAGAAATCACGATAACTTGAATATTTCATCATCTTTAAGTGTACATAGGTACATAGTGGTGAAAATGAAATGCGTCATTAGTTAAGTAGTAATTTATCTACGGGCGTTTGTATTAACGATGTTTGTAATCACCACTATAGCACTACATAGAGATGTGTAAATTATGACAGTGGTAATTTGTACACCACTATAACACTACATAGAGATGTGTAAATTATGACAGTGGTAATTTGTACACCACTATAACACTACATAGGGATGTGTAAATTATGACAGTGGTAATTTGTACACCACTATAACACTACATAGAGATGTGTAAATTATGACAGTGGTAATTTGTACACCACTATAACACTACATAGAGATGTGTAAATTATGACAGTGGTAATTTGTACACCACTATAACACTACATAGAGATGTGTAAATTATGACAGTGGTAATTTGTACACCACTATAACACTACATAGAGATGTGTAAATTATGACAGTGGTAATTTGTACACCACTATAACACTACATAGAGATGTGTAAATTATGACAGTGGTAATTTGTACACCACTATAACACTACATAGAGATGTGTAAATTATGACAGTGGTAATTTGTACACCACTATAACACTACATAGAGATGTGTAAATTATGACAGTGGTAATTTGTACACCACTATAACACTACATAGAGATGTGTAAATTATGACAGTGGTAATTTGTACACCACTATAACACTACATAGAGATGTGTAAATTATGACAGTGGTAATTTGTACACCACTATAACACTACATAGAGATGTGTAAATTATGACAGTGGTAATTTGTACACCACTATAACACTACATAGAGATGTGTAAATTATGACAGTGGTAATTTGTACACCACTATAACACTACATAGAGATGTGTAAATTATGACAGTGGTAATTTGTACACCACTATAACACTACATAGAGATGTGTAAATTATGACAGTGGTAATTTGTACACCACTATAACACTACATAGAGATGTGTAAATTATGACAGTGGTAATTTGTACACCACTATAACACTACATAGAGATGTGTAAATTATGACAGTGGTAATTTGTACACCACTATAACACTACATAGAGATGTGTAAATTATGACAGTGGTAATTTGTACACCACTATAACACTACATAGAGATGTGTAAATTATGACAGTGGTAATTTGTACACCACTATAACACTACATAGAGATGTGTAAATTATGACAGTGGTAATTTGTACACCACTATAACACTACATAGAGATGTGTAAATTATGACAGTGGTAATTTGTACACCACTATAACACTACATAGAGATGTGTAAATTATGACAGTGGTAATTTGTACACCACTATAACACTACATAGAGATGTGTAAATTATGACAGTGGTAATTTGTACACCACTATAACACTACATAGAGATGTGTAAATTATGACAGTGGTAATTTGTACACCACTATAACACTACATAGAGATGTGTAAATTATGACAGTGGTAATTTGTACACCACTATAACACTACATAGAGATGTGTAAATTATGACAGTGGTAATTTGTACACCACTATAACACTACATAGAGATGTGTAAATTATGACAGTGGTAATTTGTACACCACTATAACACTACATAGAGATGTGTAAATTATGACAGTGGTAATTTGTACACCACTATAACACTACATAGAGATGTGTAAATTATGACAGTGGTAATTTGTACACCACTATAACACTACATAGAGATGTGTAAATTATGACAGTGGTAATTTGTACACCACTATAACACTACATAGAGATGTGTAAATTATGACAGTGGTAATTTGTACACCACTATAACACTACATAGAGATGTGTAAATTATGACAGTGGTAATTTGTACACCACTATAACACTACATAGAGATGTGTAAATTATGACAGTGGTAATTTGTACACCACTATAACACTACATAGAGATGTGTAAATTATGACAGTGGTAATTTGTACACCACTATAACACTACATAGAGATGTGTAAATTATGACAGTGGTAATTTGTACACCACTATAACACTACATAGAGATGTGTAAATTATGACAGTGGTAATTTGTACACCACTATAACACTACATAGAGATGTGTAAATTATGACAGTGGTAATTTGTACACCACTATAACACTACATAGAGATGTGTAAATTATGACAGTGGTAATTTGTACACCACTATAACACTACATAGAGATGTGTAAATTATGACAGTGGTAATTTGTACACCACTATAACACTACATAGAGATGTGTAAATTATGACAGTGGTAATTTGTAATCACCACTATAACACTACATAGAGATGTGTAAATTATGACAGTGGTAATTTGTACACCACTATAACACTACATAGAGATGTGTAAATTATGACAGTGGTAATTTGTACACCACTATAACACTACATAGAGATGTGTAAATTATGACAGTGGTAATTTGTACACCACTATAACACTACATAGAGATGTGTAAATTATGACAGTGGTAATTTGTACACCACTATAACACTACATAGAGATGTGTAAATTATGACAGTGGTAATTTGTACACCACTATAACACTACATAGAGATGTGTAAATTATGACAGTGGTAATTTGTACACCACTATAACACTACATAGAGATGTGTAAATTATGACAGCGGTAATTTGTACACCACTATAACACTACATAGAGATGTGTAAATTATGACAGTGGTAATTTGTACACCACTATAACACTACACCTCGGATACAAATTTTATGTTAAACTATCCTCTGTGGCCCGTCACTATCACCCACTGTCATCTCGCTCCCACACTATAGTTGTTATTCAGCCGTGTAATATCATCACCAGGTTAGAAAGATGTAAATAAGGACATTTTACTTATAACATTTATTAAGATAAGACCCGGACATATGATAGCCCACCAACATTCTACAGTGTATCTGTTACGATTCAAAAGAAACACTTTTTTAGTGATATCTCATGTTCTTCGGGTTTTTGTTAACATTTATTGTTATTTTATTCACATAATTCTCTTTGGTCATTTGAACGGTTTTTGATGGTTTTGTATATTCTTTGCCTTTATGAGGTGTCCGGAGCACGTTTCCGCAACAAATATTGAAATGTAGGAACTCTCTCGTGCCTCCTGGGTTATACTTAACACCAATTTTAGATCTCATTCAAATATTAGTTTTTTTATTTCAAAAATTGTACAAAGGAAAGAAAGTAAAATGAATTAAAATTTCAGTATGATAATAAATTAAAAAAGTGTTGGCGAGCATAGCGAGACGAGTTTGTTTCATTCCCCAACTTACCGCATGTACAAATGGTTTTCAAACAAACTACACCAGGGGCGTTTCTAGGATATTTGAAAGAGGCCAGGGGCGTAGAATCAAATCTTTTGGACCTTTTTTTGCTAAAAAACATAAAATAATTGTGAAATGCACTAATGTAACGGTTCCTGACTTGGAGCATGTATATTTTATACTACGATAGTGTTTTTTGTTTTTTTTTAAAGGGGCCATTACGCCCTCACCTGAACCCGCCCCCGAACTACACCATGTCCACCCATTTTTAACCGAAACCCCTTGAGGTAATGCAAAATAGGTTAGAAATGTGTAATTTTATATAAATTATGAATACTTGTTTCTCTCCGTCCGTTGACCTCCAATTAAGGATTATATATTTTGCAAAATCTTGACTAGAGAGAGAGCTTAAAAAACCGTTTAGTTAAACATGTTGGGTTCTGTTCATTTTAATATGACCATTATAGATTAAAATAAACTGAACTAACCATTTTGGAGGCCATGGAACAGTCATGTTGGTAAGGGGAAGAATGTCTACTGCAAAAACAAGGTCGGTAAGTTTTTAACTGACTGTCTCACGGACATCGAACTCGGATTTTTATTTGCTACCATAATTTTGTCAGCTCATCCTGAATATGTTACTGGTTACTTTATACATAGTCTGGAAGATGTACTTTACCTGTTGTTGCATTCTTAATATCAGTGTCGTCGCTTTTTACTAAAATCTGGGGTTAAGATGTAGGAGAAAGGTGATCAGCTATATATCTATATATAACTCTCGGGTAGGGTTCCGATACCCGCCATACGTACGTATGGTAGTTTGCTTTAATCCTACAATTACAGGAGGTGACTTATATCGGTCCCACTTCACTCACTCATCATCTGTATGCCTTAATTATGATTTAACAATGTCCATCTACTGCATTTCGGACACTGTCAATGTCACATGCTGTCGACTCAGCTTCACAACGAAATATCACAAACTGTTAAATATTTGATATTGGTTAAGATAAAAGACCGATGATTTTCTAGTTCATATGACAATTCCTCACGTTCATAATGTATTTTTTCCAGGTTGTCATGACAACATGCTAAGGCTTCTGATCTATATCGCCAGTCTTTACCTGGCCAACGCCCAAGTACGAGGTAAGTTATGCATTTATATTTCGAAACAAAAAATGACAGGATTAATTACCGAGGCATTGGACTCTTTACCAAGCCATTGGACTATTTACGGAGACATAGGACTATTTACGGAGATATAGGACTATTTTACTTAGACAAGGACTATTTACTTAGACAAGGACTATTTACTGTGATATGGAACTTACGATGTAGACCAGGGACTATTGATGAAGTTATGGACTTATTTACTGAAACATGACTTTTCCCTGTGACACTGGACTATTTACTGAGATACAGGACTATTTGCTGAGATACAGGACTATTTACCGAGATACAGGACTATTTACTGAGATACAGGACTATTTACAGTGACATGACTTTTCCCTGTGACACTGGACTACTTACTGAGATACAGGACTATTTACAGTGACATGACTTTTCTCTGTGACACTGGACTATTTACTGAGATACAGGACTATTTACAGTGACATGACTTTTCCCTGTGACACTGGACTACTTACTGAGATACAGGACTATTTACAGTGACATGACTGTTCCCTGTGACACTGGACTATTTACTGAGATACAGGACTATTTACTGAAATACATGACTATTTACTGTGAGGCAGGACTATTTACTGATATACATGACTATTTAATGTGATACAGGACTATTTACTGAGTTACAGGACTATTTACTGAGACATGACTTTTCCCTGTGACACTGGACTATTTACTGAGATACAGGACTATTTACTGAGATACAGGACTATTTACTGAGATACATGACTATTTAATGTGATACAGGACTATTTACTGAGATACAGGACTATTTACAGTGACATGACTTTTCCCTGTGACACTGGACTATTTACTGAGATACAGGACTATTTACTGAGATACAGGACTTTTGACTGAGCTCAGGACTATTTACTGAGACTTTTGACTGTACATTGGAGTATTTACTGAGACTTCCTCCTTTATGACAGTATAATTAAGTTTGTAATAATAACACCTGTATGTTAGTTGATACACTTGTATCTTATGACACACATGTATATTATGATGTTATAAAAAAATGTACATCTATATCCCTCTGTAATGATGGTACACCTGTATGGTATGATGATACACCTGTATGTTCTGATGTTACACTTGTATGTTCTGATGATACACCTGTATGTTCAGATGATACACCTGTATGTTCTGATTATACACCTGTATGCAACAAGGGTACACCTGTATGTTCTGATGATACACCTGTATGTTCTGATGATACACCTGTATGTTCTGATTATACACCTGTATGCAACGAGGGTACACATGTATGTTCTGATGATACACTTGTATGTTCTGATGATACACATGTATGTTCTGATGATACACTTGTATGTTCTGATGATACACATGTATGTTCTAATGATACACTTGTATGTTCTGATGATACATTTGTATGTTCTGATGATACACTTGTATGTTCTAATGATACACCTGTATGTTCTGATGATACACTTGTATGTTCTGATGATACACCTGTATGTTCTGATGATATACCTGTATGTTATGATGGTACACATGTATGTTATGATGATACACCTGTATGTTCTGATGATACACCTGTATGTTATGATGATACACCTGTATGTGACGATGATACACCTGTATGTGATGATGATACACCTGTGTGTGACGATGATACACCTGTATGTGACGATGATACACCTGTATGTGACGATGATATACCTGTATGTGACGATGATACACCTGTATGTGACGATGATACACCTGTATGTGACAATGATATACCTGTATGTTATGATGATACACCTGTATGTGAAGATGATACACCTGTATGTGACGATGATACACCTGTATGCGACAATGATACACCTGTATGTGACAATGATACACCTGTATGTTATGATGATACACCTGTATGTGACAATGATACACCTGTATGTGACGCTGATACACCTGTATGTAATGCTATTTAACTTTGTAGATTGTCCCCTGCTGTGGGTGCGAGATGACGTTAGCCAGAGATGTTACCAGTTTGTATATGACCAGCAGTCTTATGAAACTGCCACAATGTTATGTGCGGTAAGTTGTTACTTTCCTTATCACTGTGATGGTGTGCAATAACACAGGTAGAAAGTCTCTTTTCTCTGGACGGATATTGCTTCAAGTTCATCCACCCAACTGTCCTGCTGCCCACTGTTCCACATTGCATTCTGGGAAAGTACTTTTATGATTATTGAAGGATTTCAGCAAAATCTGAGATGTGGTAATACTCCAGGCAAGTTGAATATAAGCAAAATCTGCATATATTTACTTAAAAGGCAGTGATCAGGCCAAATACAAAAATGCATGGAATCAGTGCCGATAGACTTGATGCTTAATCTTACGGATCCCAGTCCCACTGCAGGTAAAACACTTCAGAGAACGTCATACATATAGTAAATTGCCCTTAATTTCGAATTCTATATTGCTGTATTGTAACTGTGTCCGGGTGCTACCGTTGGCCAGGTAGCTCAGGTGGTTAGAGTAATATATCAAGATTGGAGGTCCAGGGTTCAAATCCTGGTCTGCCATTTTTACATACAGAACACTGCTTATTGTGCATTTTATTTATTTTTTCATACATTTAGAATCTAGTTCCACAAAATATTATTTGCTTTTAAAAAATATTTCATCAAAGGTATAGTAACAATGGAAAATAAAAGTTCCCAGTACATAGTTACATTTTATTGTAGTGGTAGAGGGGGTGTTTGGTAGCGGTACAGGGAGTGTTTGGTAGTGGTACAGAGAGTGTTTGGTAGTGGTACAGGGAGTGTTTGGTAGTGGTACAGGGAGTGTTTGGTAGTGGTACAGGGAGTGTTTGGTAGTGGTACAGGGAGTGTTTGGTAGTGGTACAGGGAGTGTTTGGTAGTGGTACAGGGAGTGTTTGGTAGTGGTACAGGGAGTGTTTGGTAGTGGTACAGGGAGTGTTTGGTAGTGGTACAGGGAGTGTTTGGTAGTGGTACAGGGAGTGTTTGGTAGTGGTACAGGGAGTGTTTGGTAGTGGTACAGGGAGTGTTTGGT